TTATCACTGCCAGACAGCCAGTTGCTCCAAGCAGAAACTTTAGATAATCCTTAAATCCCCATATCCGGTTGTTTAGCATGTCTTGTGAATTCACTCTCTCAAATATCTGCAAAGTACTCTGTCCTCCTTACTGACACTGTATTCACTGGAATCCTGTGCTTGGTCAGATCTTAGCTTAAATGTCACCTCTCAGAGAGGGTTTCCTGACACCCTATTTTAAGAAGACATCAACTTAGAGTTGCTGTTAAATCACTTTGTTTCCTGTGTAAATGTTATGAAAAATTTTAATGAGTCATTTAAAATGATTCACTAATTTGGTATTTGTTTTTCACTAGAATGTAAGTACTATGACAGCAGGTCTTGCTTATGTTGTTTAGTAGTAACTCAGTGTCTAGTTTCTAGGTTACTGCAGGTGTAGTACAATGTTTTAAGAATGGATAAGTGAATGATATACTGTCTTCTTACCATGTTTATTTGCTTTCATTTTCCTTATTCATTTTTTTTTCTCCAAAAATCACATGATAGAATTGTTTATGGAGCACAGAGTTCTAGTCTTGGTACTTCCTAGCTTAAAAAGCATTCTTAAGTACAAAATAAACATCATTTTTGTCAGTAGCGAACAAATTTGTATCTACTTTAAATGTGGTTTTGAGTAGAGTTCAATGAGCTATATCAGGTAAAAAAACTTAAAATTATATTTAGCTCTAAATTCTGCATTAAAAAGAAAAACTGATACTAGAGTTATGAAGTAGAAAACCTTGAGTACATGTAGACTGCATCTAAATGGTTCCTACTTATTTTTTCCATGTATTAAATTCTATTATTTTTGTTTTCCATAGATTTCACTTGTTATGTTTTTTGTTTCTATTAATCTTATTCTAAATTTAGAGTCATTACAGGTGAACATTATCCTTTTATGGGTAAATCAAAGAAATTCTACAGAAAGTAATTTTATTTTGTGATTAGCTTGTGGTGCTGGTTTCCTTCATGCCTTATCTCTTCTACAGATCAGAAACCTGAAGTATATGATAGATCTTTCAGTGACAAGGGAAACATCACTGTTCATGTAGTTTATATTGCCCACATGTGGATTTGGAACACTTGAACTATGGCCAGTGGCTCAAGCCTCAAATTAATAATTTTACTCTATTTTAACTTACATAGCCACCTGTGGCTATTAGATACTGAACTATAAAGTGTTGGTCTCAACACTCCAATAAGAAGGCAAAAAATATTCAATTCATTTGAAAACTCAAGATTCCATTAAATGTTGACTACAAGAAGTAGAATTTATATAGAAAAGCAGACAACGGGCAACATATGGTGAACAAATTAATCATCAGAAATAGAGAGTGGATTCATGAATAACAAACAAATGGTCAGCGATTACATTTTGAAGAAGACATAAAATTACTGATGTGTAAACATTGATAACAGAGCCTCCTCATTACTGGAAATTGATGATGAAGACATTGTAACCTGAAAATAAAGACAAACCTTATAGGATTATGTTGGTTTTAAAATACACACCTGCACCATCTCAGTGCTACTCCCTCCCAAAGGTAGAACCTAATTCTCCTTCCCTTGAGGATGATCTGAACTTGTATCATCCCACAGCTGATAAGTGGAATTTGCAGGAAGACATTGTGCTACCAGGCGCTATATGGAATTATGTATTTTCTTCTCTCTCTCTTTCTCCCTGTACCCCATCATCTTCTTTAGGTAAGCACACTGTCAAGGCTTAAACCGATGAGCATTAAGGTGAAGCACATGTGGGCAAGGAGCTAAGCCCTCTGCAGTGCCTCACCCATGGCCCCTCCAGCCCCAGTGGAGCCTTCAGGTGACTGCAGCCTGCCTTGTGTCTTGACAACTACCTCCTGAGAGGCCTAGAGTCAAAACCATACATTTTTTTCTGAATTTCTGATATATGATAACTTTGAAATAATGAATATTATGTATGATAATAAGTACTATATTTGTCCCTAACCCTAAATACTATTAAACTGTTAAATTGGGTGGTAATTTGATGCAAAAACAAAAAACTAATGAAAAGCCTGAAAGATAAAATGAAAATATGCACAATTATAATTGGAGATTTCAACATTTATCTCTTAGTCATTGACAGAACAACCAGCAAATGGATGAGTATGAAGAATAACACTACAAGCCAATGTGACTTATGGAACTTTGTAGAACATGTCTTCTAACAAGAGCAAAATATTGTTTTCAAGTAAATATGGAGCATTTTTAAAATGTAGACCATGTACTAGAAAGGAGAAACAGTTTTCATAAGTTTTCACATATTGAAGTCATGTAGAATATGTTCTCTGACCATAAAGAATTAAACTGGAAATAAATTACAATAAGATATCCAATGAAATTTTAAAAATGGGTATTAATAATGCAATTTGCAGGAATATGTGTGTCAAAACGAAACAACAAGGCATATTTTTAAAAAGATTTTGAATCAAATGTAAAATTTTAAAATTCAAAATTCATGGGATACCTAAGGGTCAACTTAGAGCGAAATTCGTAGCTTTTACTGTTTATATAAAGAAAAAAGAATAATGTACAACCGTCTCAGTTTCTATTATAAGAAATTAAGAAATTGAAAGGAAATGTGAAGTAATGTCAAAATATGCAGAAGGAAAATTTTAGAATTCGATGGAAATTGATGAAACAATAAAAGTAGACAAAATGAAAAATGGACAAACAATAAAAAAATTAATCAAACTCCAAGCTTATTCTTGGAAGAAAGAAGTAAAATTTACAAGTCTTTATTTAGCCTGATGTAAAATACAGAAGGCACAAGTTACCAAGATCAGGAAAAGAGATCATCATTACAGATATCAAAGTGCTAATACATGTTATGAATAACTTTTTGCCAATAAATTTAATAACAAACAAAATAAATGAATTTCTTAAGAGAAATCATCAAAATTTGTATAGGAACAGTAGAGAAATCTGAATCACTCTACATCTAATGAAAACATTGAATTTAAACCTGGTAATGGAAAACCTTTAAAAAAAGAAAGAAAAAGAAACCACAGACCCATATGGTTTCACTGATTAGATCTATCAAATATTTAGAGAAGAAATTAAAGACATCTTGAAATATTTAGGACCATGTTCCAAGTAACTACACTAGTACACTATTTAATATCAAAACCAGATAAAGATTTGTAAGAAAAATTGTTATAAACTGATATCTATCATAAACATAGGCACAAAATTGTTTTAAAAGAACAATTTAATTGAAGTGTAATTGATATACACACAATTATATATAATGAATGCAAATAACTTAATGAGTTTGACTCTATTGAAACCATTGCCCCAATCAAGTAATAAATATATTCATCACTTCTAAAAGTTACCTTGTGTCCGTGTGTATGCGTCTGTGTGTGTGTGCATGTGTGTGTGCATGTGCATAGTAAGAACACTGAACTGTGAGTTCTACATTTTAAAAAATCAGTGCATAGTAGAGTATTGTTGACTACTGGATACAAAAACACTTATCAAATATTAGCGAACTGAGTCAAGGGTAATAAATCAAGACTAATTGGACTGTATGCCAGGGCTGTGAAAGTGATTTAACATTAAAAAAAAATAAGTCAATATAATTCAACATGTTTATGAAAGAAAGTAAATTATGTGTATTTAAATAGATGCAGAAAATGCATTTGCCATAATTTAATGCTTTTCAGTCACAAAAGCTTTTAGCAAAATTCTCAGCAGGAGAAAGAAGCTGCCTTCATCTCAGGCTGAGTATGGACTGGAAACCTTAGCCACTGTCAAACTTGGGGATGTGAATGAAGGGCAGCCTTTCCATCCTGATCAGAAACAAGGCAAAAATCTGTACCCTCACCCTTCTAGCCAACTTTTTACTAAAGGTCTTTGCCAGAGCTAAGTGACAAGAAAATAGTAAAAGGCATACAGATTGAAAAAGCAGGAGTGAGACTATTTTTATGTAGCATGATTTGTACCTAGAAAAGCCTAAGGATCAGCATATGAGCTAGTTGAAATGATTTAAAGAGCTTTTTATGATGCACTGGATATGGCCAAAATCAATTGTATTATTATTAATATAAAAATTCAAATGTAAAATTCCACTTATAATAGCATTTAAAAATGAAACATTTAGTTGAATTTTAGAAAATATGTTCAAGACATGTACATGGAAAACTACAAATTACTACATAGATTATTAATGATGTAAAAGTATGGAGACATTTTGTACCTGTGGTATGAAAGTTTCAGTATTTTTCAGATATAAAGTCTTCCAAAATTAATCTATTAATTAAAACGTAGACCCATACATGGTCCAGTGACTTCTGAAAAAGAAGCTGAGGTAATCAGTGAGGAAATAATATCTTTTCCAACAAATGACGCCAAAATGAATGGATATTTGCATGGAAAAAAGAAATCCCTTACCTGACACTTTACTTCACAACCAATAACAAAATGTACTTGAAATAAGTCATAGATCCAAACATAGAAGCTAAGATTACAAAATCTCCAGGATGGATAATATTGAAGGATGAATTTGGGCCAGTAATTCTCAACCAATCCTATCAGGAACACTAACCCTTTTATTTTACTGAAAAGGAATTCATAGAAACTATCTTAACTTCAGTATGATATATTTTTTAAAAAAATCAAGATACCTTAAGAACAAAAACCAATACTAAAAAGCCATTTATATACAATAGTATGTATTTCAATATGGACATGCTTGGATAAAAGTACTTAAGCAAAATGAAATTGAAGTCTGCCTATATCCTTAGTTAATTAATGGGTTATGAATATTACCCTGGGGATTCAAACACCATAAACAGTTTTTTTCTGTAATATGACTTCCTAAATGGTATACAAACTTGGTGATGTCCAAAAACAAACAAACATACAAAAATCTACGTTATTTCCTTAGTTTCAATAGTATAAGCAACTTAGAAAGTTACAAAAACTCACACAAAAATTTTATATGCCAATAGACTTACATTAGGTTTCAATTATGATGTTTTCTTTTCTTTACGTGAATGTCCAATGCGCCATTCCGAAGTGCAAGAGGGAGAGTTTATGGGATAGGGCTACCCTGTCCACTGAGGACAGGGGCACCCGGACCCCCAGGATTCTGAGCCTGGGAAGCGCACCCATTCTGATGAATGGACAAAAAGTAGTTTCAAACCGTATGGGAACAAGGGATCTAAGCCGTAACAAACAAATGAAAACACAAAACACTGTAAGGACCCGCCCTCTGAACCAAGGTGGAAGAAACAAAGTCATTTCTACTGAGTCCAAGGGAAGAAACCAGGACTGGGGGAGATGAAATCACCTCAGAAGGTTTATCCTGAATAATGTCTCCGGGCGACAGGGGAAGCCTTCACCCTAAGCCCTGGAGGAGGAGGAGAAAGATGTCAGCAGAGCGCAGGGCTGCTGTCCTCCGCCTTCCCTGGGCCTTTCGTTGAGTCCCCCGTAGAGGAAGACCCCGGGCTGGTGGGCAGCGTCCCCGGAGCCACCCACACCGGCCTCGGGAGTCCTGGGCCGCCTGGATACCCAGCGGCTGCCGCAGTATCCCAGGACTTCCTCAGAGCTGAAGTTTCTAGCTGCATAGATTTACCACAGGCGATGCTTCCCAGGTGTAAGGAGTTTACGGCCCAAGGGCTTGCACGTGCCTCTACTCGCTGAAGTTTAGGTAAGGGTGAGGCTAAGCCACGCTGGGTCCTGGAGCAAGCTTCCCGCGGGGACCCTTTAAAGGCCCGGCCTGGCAGGGGGCGTGGAGGAGTGTCCTCTTTCTGTCCCAGCCAGGGCCGGCTGCTGAACCAAGCCAGGGAGGGCTGTCTCCTCCTCTTCCCGCAGCGGCCGAGCGCTCGGCAGTCGAGCCGGGGCAGGGGACTCTGCGGCAGCGAATCCTTCGGCCCGCCCGGAGAGGACTCCGGGGCCCTCACGATGCCACGCGCCGCCGGGGTCCTGCTGCTGCTGCTGCTCTCGGGGGCCCTCGAGGCCGCTCAGGGGCAGCGGTCCCTGCAGCAGAGGCAGCCCCAGGCGCACCAGCAAAGAGGTAAATCGAGGCGCAGGCTTTGATGGCATCCTTGCAGGGCCGCGGCTCTTGGGGTCCCTTCCGCGGAGTTTCTTAGGGACCGCAGTGCCCTTGGGGAGAGGGGCTGAGCCACGCCAAGTGCGGAGTCCACTGCCAGGGAGCGGTGACTTCCAGCCAAGGGACGCCCCCGCTGTGCGCTCTTCATTCCTTTCGGAAAGCTCTGCACCCTGCAAGTTGGTTTACAGAATCTTTCCAAGAGCAAACTTTTCCAATGGGGGTGGTGGTGGTGGTGTAAAGTTTTCTCAAATCCATTTCTGCAGTGGATGCTTGGCTTCTCCGCGCTGTAGCTCATCTTGGAACTCGGGGGAGGGAACTGATGCGTGTTTTTCTCTCCTCGAATTTTAAGGGATTTTGTCTCCAGTTATCTAAATAGGCTTTGCCAAGGAGTTGAGTATGTGGACTTCTTTCTTTCATGGCAATGAGGCCTCCAGGCTCACCTTTTCTACATCCACATCCCACCTCTGTAGATTTTTTTTTTTTTTTTGTAATGAGCTTTCTCTTCTTGCTTAAATACAGAAAAGACTTCTATGTCTTGGATATTTTAAGACCATGGTGACCAGAGAGAGGCTTCAGTGGGCTTTGGAAAATAGTTGTGTTTAATGTAACTTAAATTATTCTCATGACAGCATGTTAATGTCTATGTGCATCTCATTTCTGAATCTCTTGAGAGTCTTTTTTTTTTTTTTTGGTACCAGGGATTGAACTCAGGACCTTGTGCAATGGAACCACTGAGCTAAATCCCTGGCCCTCTAGGGAGTCTTTGAAGGTGTATTTTATCATGAATTTTAAAAGAAGCACACATGCAACATTTAAAAACATAATTTGTAAGTTATTTCAGCAAACATTTTTTTAAGTTGAGAACCTGCAAGGGAAAAAAAAGAACTTTAGGAAAATGAAAGATTTGATTCAACTATCAAAATATTTAGCCTAAGAGTACAAAATCTGGAAACTTGAAACTTTGGAAAGTTTTGATGAGGCTGAATCTGCTAATGTTTGGAAATATGTTTGCCCGTTTTCTAATTAACTGGAATAAAGCCATGTCTAATAGTTCTGAAATTGTTCTAACCTCATATATTTAGCAGTACTATTTTTTAAAGGAGTAAACAGATACCCTAAGCTTCTTGCAACAATAACTCCTGGAGTCTGATTCCTAGAATAAAAATGACCTTCAGTTCACTATATAAATTGTTTCTTCTATTTGTGTTTTGTCTTCACTGAGAGGCAAATGGGGCCAATATGGCTCAAATAATAGAATTTTCCCCAACAGGTTTTACTAGTGACTATTGATAGAGAAGCTAATGGGTTTCATTTTGCTAGATTCGTGCCTGCATGTAACACACCATCACCACTCCCCCTCCCTGCTCTCTTTCACATTTTTTGTGGGGGCTTCAATATGTATAATGTATTTGGGCATATTTTTGAGGCAATGATTACAAAGATAACTTTGGCAGCTGATTTTTAAACTACCTCCTTTACCTATTAACTTTTGCTCAATTCTGTGATACATCTTAATAATGCCCAGTACTTTAGTACTTGGGGGCAGCTGGGAGCACAGTGGGTCCAGTACGCCCACCCCTCCTGTCTGCTTGGAATGTGGCAGTGGCTCAAAGCTTGCAGGCTCAGGAGAGGGCAACAGGGCTTCTGAGAAACTCCCCTCGCGCACATGCACACTCTCCCTCACCTCTCCTCCTTCTTACTTTCTCTTGGAATTGACTTAAAATTAACTGATTTCTATGGTCCAGGGCATAGAAGGAAGAATTTATAGTGAACACAGAAGGAGGAGTTTATACTGCCATTCTCATGAGAGATTACTGAGCCATTGTCTAATAAGGAATATTAAGCAAAATAACTGTAGCAGTGGGCCTACTATACACAGCAGTATTCTGCATCCAGGTACTATCCTTGTTATAGACTTTGCAATATATTTGCAGGTTGGCTCCTGGATAAATGGCCAAAATTTGTTAATAAAAGTTTGTATAAAATGTATTTATGATTCCCTAAATTTGTAAAATGCTTTATAATTTAAAAGTGCTTTGTGGACATGACCTATTTGCATCTTCAGCTATTACTATTCTGATGAGATAAATTTAAAAACTGAGGCTTGAAGTAGCTGGGACTTAAACTCATGTAACTGATACACAGAACTTAAGTTTCAGCAACTAAAACCACCTCCGGTATTGCTTATGCTGAAAATTCCCTCTTTATGGTTCCAAGATTTCTTTCCATTGTTTTTTGAGGCCATGTTTCCTTTTCAATGTTGTTGGGTTGAAGCAAGCTTTCAGATTGGATCATGGGATGCAAATTTGACAAGTGTTTTCTTGCCCATTATCAACTTTTTGTTTTATGTTACACACACGCCTTCCTGGCCAAGCACTAATTGGGTAGTTCAGTTTCCCTTTATGGTGCCATGCCATTTTATTAAGGGTGGTGCCACCAAGTAACCATTTAAAGATGTTGTGCTTGAGCTAGAAACTTGGATTTTTGTTAGTCGATTGGCTTTTTACTCTTTCTTTAAAATTTTCTGTGGCTTCTATAGCATACTGAATTATAATAGGAATAACATTGATTTAACAAGTGTGATATTCCAAAGAAATCCTTGATCTAAATTTAGGATCAATGAAATAGGAGAACAACACAGTCGAAATGATTCCACATTTGAGCAAGGCAACGGGTAACATCTTTGCTGACATTTTTGGGAGTAATATATGGAAATAGAAGTGTAATGTTAGGTAAATTGCAACTGAGTGAAAAATAGATTCCGAAGAATGTTGCACGGTGGATCAAGGTCAATCTCGAGAAGTCTCAATTAGTATGACCTGTTTTGGTGATGGTGTGATGGAAAACATAAACTCTAAGTCTGATAAAACTTCAGGTGGTCCAGAACACATCCAGCTGGCTGAGGTGTTGAATAACTTAAGGAACTGCAGAGAATTCCACAGCCTGGACCAGGAATGGAACCTACCTAGGATTGGTTTTGTTATTCATATCCAGATGCTAAATAATTCCACTTAATTTTCCTTTTTTGGAAATTTGTTATACCCCTTATATGTACAAAAATGAGTACAAAGATGGCACAAGAAAGGCCAATCTGAACTGCAAAAAATTCAATATAAAAACATAGTGCAGCATGAGGACAGAAAAGGTAACTTTCATTCATATTTCATATAAGAAGACAGGTCGAGTTAGCATGTTTGGATTCTTCATTGACAAACATGTCTAAATTCAGAGGAAAGACAACAGAATTGCTAAGGGTCTAAAAAGATTTTTCAGAGCTAGAATCTTCCACATAACACCTTTTGAACTGAAAAAGAAAAGTTTTAGGGGGAAGAAACAAGAGACATCTTCAGATTTTTAGGAGGATTATTACATGAAAGAGGGATTAAAATGTCCTTTCTAAAGCTCACACAGAGAAGAGCATGACAAAGAGAAAGGTTTGAGTTTGGAAGCATGGAGAAATCTGACCCCCCCCCCCACCCTGGTCTGAGTTATTCAGGGATAACTGGACTGTGTGTGGCTGCTCTTGCCACTGAGACACCCACACGGTGATCAGATGTATAACAGGCAGCAGTGTCTGGAGAACAGGGCTCTCCCCAGAGAGAAGATGCATGAAGTCTCCACTTTTTTCAATGCCAAGCATCTAGTTTGTAATCTATTGGTTTTGGAATGCATACTTGCATGTAAATCTCTGAATTCTTAAAAATGTCAAGAAAATGTTAAATATATTTAAATGTGCTTTTAGATGGCTTCTGGAATTTTAAATAATAGAAAAACATGTTTGGGACAATTCTCACTCATTTTTGGCAAGAACATTTAAACATTTCGTAAGGAATGTCCACATCACCATCCACTTGGTGATTCTAAAACATCCTGTATTATAAAACAGGAGAACAAATTACCTAAGAAAATTTCAGAAAATTTATTGTGGGTATAAAGTTGGAATTATTATTTTCATTTTTTCTTTTGTTGCATATATAACATTGTTGGTCCATTAGGTATATATTGCCTTAATAGTTTAGCAAACTAATTCAATATGTATAGACTGTGTGGCTGAGAATAAGAATATATTCAATATTGACTATTGTAGATATGGTAGGATTAATAAAACTGGTATAAACATAATATTTTATTTTACATATCAATATTATAATTTCTCTTTTGTTTTTAACATTTTTCTATCCTAGGGTTTTATGGACAGTGATGAACTAATTCTATCTCGAGGCTTATTGGGGATTATGAAAAAATTGTATATGGTTTGCCATTCTTCATCAATTCTAGCTTTTGAAATATGAAATAATTGTCATCCACACTACAATAGATATTCACCTTATGGAGATATAATCAGTTTAAAACTCAAATAGGTATTTCAAATAGGATTATTGTAAGAAAAAATTCTATTTTATGGGAGAAATGAAACATGGCAAAGAAATTTCAGAATAGGATTTGTTATTCTTATATCTTTTCACTTGAGTTATAACTCAGAAAGTTTGCTTTTGGATAGATTTCACATTTCAGTATTTCTTTAGTCCCTCTTTCTGTAAAGCAGAACATTGTCACTCTTAGTGCATTCATGCATTGAAAAAATACTGATTATTCTTTGACAGTGACTAACATGCTGGACATTTCAACTGGACCTCTGAGACCATAACACTGTTTCTTTTGATCCAGATGGACTCAGCAAGAACTTCAAGTTTAATGCTTCAAGTTCATACAGCTCTCACATCCTTCATAATGTGTTTTAGGGTTGTGGGTCCACAATTCTGGCCACAGCGTAAATGGATCCATGAGCTGTATCTCGACGGTAGGGCGCTTGCCTAGCATGTGCAAAGTCCTGAGTCCTATTCTCAGCACTTTGTGGATGAATTGGTAAGTAGTTGTGTCCAGAATATGAAAACTAATTGCAAATTAGGCTATATGCAGTAGGATTAGTGGGATGGCTAGATGACTTAATTATGAAGTCCAAA